GAATCGAACTGCTTCACCTCCAACGCTCGTCCAACGTTGACTCGATCATCAGCCGCGCTTTCTTTTTCTAGTGGGGATTGCTGTTCATGATGCGACGATGCCACAGCACTGGACGCGTCATCTTGGGCAACTTCAAAAATGCACCCGTTTAAGGAACTGGGGTCTTGGTGAGCTATAGTCTTGTGCTTTTTGCGGGGTTGCTCAGCAGCAGCATCATCAGTATCGACCTGTTGCTGACGCCGCTCCATACTTCTCAGTCTAGACCGCAGCCCAACGCTTCCGCTGCTGACTTTTCTACTGCTAATTTCTACCACGCTCTTTGCCTCGTCTGTTTCTTGGTTTAGAGAATGAGTGGCTAAATACAGCCATTCAGCAGGCATGTTTACGTGTATACAGCGGAAGTTAATGTGGAAAATGGACGTGCAGCGGAAAGCCGCACAAAAAATGCTATGGCAACTGGGATGTGCTGGTCAAGGACGGAAGTCACTCTCTTAATTAAATGCTGCTGTTTCGCTATTATGTGTGTGCTACAGGCAGAGAAAAGGATGAGATGGTGGCCGCAGCTGAGGCGAAGAGGACTGATTATTTATATTTCTTGTTGAATTTGCTCGTCTAGTTGACGACCCGCGATATTTTCGAAAATGCCGGTGCATTAATGTTTTGCTGTAATACTGTAGAAATATCGGCCGTTTGTGCAACTTGGCTTGCAACCCTATTTTGATTGGCTAATACTAGTGCTGATGACTGTGTTGAAGTGCACAAAGCGGTAACTACACACGCAGAGTAGGATGGCCGCCATTCTTACGATCCGCACGGAGGGCCACCAAGATATTTGACACTGAGAGCTGCCTACCATTGACTAGATATACCTTGTCTATCGCTGCGTCACTGGTAAAACCTGAGCGCACCAAGCTAGCGACTACGTCCCAGAACACTTTTCGCCTTGAGAAGGCGAATTTGCTCGCACCACGCTCGATTGCCGTAAAGTCTTTTGCTGCTTTCACGTCACCGCATCCGACCTGGTATTCGTGCCAAAGTTCGAATAAATATTTCGGCCGCTTTAAGTACAGCCGTAGACGCCCGGCGAGTCGGAGGCGGATTAGGTGGAAATGTAATTATATCCTGCGTAATAACGTCGCGCCGAAAAGATGGCTACATGGCAATTTGCTTTAGTATGGCCTGAATCTTCTGTAGCTCTCGTTGGTTCTTTCGCCGTAAACGCATGACTTCGTCCAGCACTTCGGCTGTTTGGCGTCGCCCTGCTCCAATCTGCGAGTGAAGGGCTGCTAATTCACGGCGACTACCATCTCCGAGTACAGCGCTACCACGGCATGAACGTCGTGAGCTCTCGCTTGTACTGGCTTGTCATAGTGCTGGGGCTTGTGGCATTCTTTTCTTTCTTTGCAAACTTCTGGCTTGATCTCACTTGGATTTTGATATCTGGTTTTACACTAGGTACGTTTCCAACCTGACTTGCTTTTTGTATTAGATTGGGTTGCAAAACTGACCTGAACCTGCCACCGTGTATACAACTCAAGTTGCAATCACCACCCCACCGTTTCGCGCTGTACAAGGCACAATTGTGGTCTATACGCTACGTGCAGCCAATCGGAGATCAGGATTTTCAAAAATACAACCTTGGTTGCAAATGGCCGATAATGTGTACTGTAGGTGTGTGATTGTAGCGTTCTGGTTACCACACAAGCGAGAGGGTTCTTTTTTACGCATCTGGTGGGCCACTAGTGTGGCTAACAGGACGGTCAGTTATTTTCTTTACAGTTTTTATAATAGCGCTAGGCTTATACAGATATGTGCATGCATTGTTTATATAGGGTGCTCCCACAGCAAGGCCCAAAGTTGCAGTAAACTTTTACTGCAACTTCGTGGGATTTATAGATAACGCTAATAGCTAATCCCATATGAATACTAAATATTGCTATTTTAATTAGCAAAGTGAAGTAATCTAACTTTTGACTACCAGCCCAACTCTCAAAGCCTGAATTCGAACAAAGCTAAACGTCGTGAAGTAACGGACGCGCCCTATTAGAGTCCGGACTATATTCAATAGTGCCGCTTGAAACGGGTGAGGACTTTATTCCTTGCTGAAATGATTCGTGTACCAGGTTAATATCGTCTAACGCATCATCTAGCTATGAAAGATTTAACAGATCAACGTCTTCGTCCATATGCGGTTCCTTCGACCACTTTCCACGAAATTTTGCGCCTTACACATCGTGCTTGGATATAAACCACGACGAGGGGTCTCTCGAGAAGCCTGCTATTTCAACGCTCCGCATGATTGTTGCCTCATCCGTGTCTCGCCACGCGCGGAGGCCCCAATCGCAAACGGTGTCAACACTTGGCATACGTGGGTTACCAAAGCGAGTGTATTCGACTCGGTCTGACTCTTTCCAAGCGTTAATTTCCATGTACAGTAGGTCCTTGAAACGACATATTTAATCCACTTGATCACCTCTTGCTTAGAGCATCTCCACCAGTGGGGCTCTATATCTATATAGCGACTGAAGAGCTCAAATTGATAACTACTGGGGTTTCACCAGGCGTCTCTATCGCCAATTTTTTAGCTACCGGGGGGTTTCGGTCGCTATTTCGGACGCCATAGCGACTGAAATCTATAGGAGGTTGGATCACTTGCAAACGAACAATGCCTCGAGAAAAGCTTGGTCGGACAAGGAAGACGCCGCCCTGTGCACGGCGTGGTGCGCTACCCAATCGCAGGGGCCGATCAGAGGGCGGACAACCTTTGGACGCTAATCTTGCAGTCATACCGTACGATAGTACCAGGATGCTTGTGCGGCGATACTTCGCCGCACAAGCATCTCATTAGCCGCAGTGAAGTCTCTGTCGACATTTGCAGCCTTGCCGGGCTGTGAACCGCCGTGTTTTCTCTTTTTCGGTGCGCGAGGGGTCAAAAGTAGCGAGCAGACGTACGCCTCTTCCTCGTCGTCAAGAGCTTCTCGCAGAAGACGATTTCTCCACATAGCGACAGATTGGTGAGTGATGTCTCTCGGTGTCTATCGCTAAAAACATTCCGGCCAATCGGAAGGCAACGAGTTTATAGATATAGCGACACACCGGTGGAGATGCTCTTACGCCCAATGCCAACTGACTACCTTTGATGAGGCATTATTGGAAATGACGGGAAAGTGTTTCTCTCTGTAGAATGGATGGTCAGCAAGTTTGTAATAGCAGATTTGTTAGGAGGGGCTTGTGTTTAATAGTGCAGGCATGTAGCACCCCACAGGACACTATTCGGTAGGGGGCTTTTATTCGGGCGCATCCGTTAATACTATTAATTGTACTCTTAATTACACTTACGATTTGAGAGGTTCTCTCCACCCAATTTGGTAATACTCAAAAGGGTTAAAATCATTGCTACTTTTAAGTTTAACTTGTAAAAAAGTAAAACTTCTTGAAATTGGTTTTTTTATGTTGCTCGCGATTTGAGATTAGTTTTTGATTTTCCCCACCATGGCCTCAGCTCAACAATGCATTTACTAAGCACAAGTTCTGAGCCAACTTTACGGGCGAACAGATAACCAGAGTTCAACACCAGCAAGCAACCACCTCCAGAAATGCAATTTGAGCTGCAAGACCAGTCTGCGCGTGTACAGAGTCTGAATTCCATACAGAGTCTAATACAAGGCTTTTAAAGAAAAATAAACAAAATTTGTTTGTATGTACATGTAGTACGAAGCCCTCTATTATTATGTTTTTTTACATAGTCAATTCTGATTTTCAAAAGGCACTTATTAAGTATAAACTTCTAACACGTCGTTTTGTAACTCCAAGACTTTAGGAAATTTAAACAAAAACTAAATAGAGCACCCAGTTCTTCACTTTGAAACTCCCTGCCATGTTTCACTAGTTCTGGCAACACGCGATGCTGTAGAGTTTATATTGATGGACTGGACTGTATCCATTTCTCTGTGCTGACTTTACCAAGCACGTGGTGGACGTAAATGGTGATTACAGTAGAGAGGCGTCCGGTGTATTGCTATGCGCAAGCTGTGATCAGCAATATTTCGTCGCAACACAAACTGATGAAGGAGGAGGACAAGTCCGATTCGATTTTTAAATAGTTAATTGACGAATGTCCAAATTACCTGTCAACTGGCCCGATGTGGACTTTAATCGACGGCTTAGAGCGGTCAAGGCATTTGTTTTAGGACTAGCAAGCAGGGAACCCGAAAAAATAATATACTTAAAAATTAATCCTAATCTTTTAATTTAATTATCAATTTATGGCTGTCAACAACGGGGACAACCCCAATTTTGAGTAAGGTCTAGTCAAGTTACAGCGTGGGGACGCGATGAACGTCGCGGAAAAATTAGCCTGCGCTGAATTTAGGTCGCCTGATCTCGAACGGTCGTCTTCAAGAGCCGCCGAAGAACGTTCTATTATGAGAGCGGCGTTCAAGAAACACAATTGCGCACTACGTCGACGTCGCGTACATCCCGCCAACGTCTAACGAGTGTGAGCGCTTCTTCTCTCTCGCTAAGCTGGTGCTGTCTGATCTACGGAAGCGAATGTCTCCAGCAGGCTCGAGATGATAATGTTTCTGAACTACAATCGTGACAATGCAAATAATTGAATTATTAATTTGCTCAGCTCACATCGATGTATTAATCTAAGTATTGCATTTTCGGGTTCCCTGCTAGCAAGTATATGCCCCCGTACGCACGCTGTTGATTTCAGCAACTTGAACGCCTACAATGCAAAAATTGCACAATTGTTTTTCCAAAAAGTCGATCTTCATGCGACTCAATATGTTGGTGTATTGTCGGCAGCTTTTACTCCATAATGCAACGAGTATTCATCCGAGTGCGTACTGGAGCATGATAGCAACGAAAGGAATCATATTAATATGAACATGCCTAATTCCAGTTTTCAGATCTGCAAATTAAGACCGGTATTAGGAATTAGGAAGAAAAGGGAGCGTTTTTCTTACTTAAATTATTTTTAATACTGCATCTCGATGGCATCTGTGTACGCGTCGGTGGAGCCACAGTTCACGCGCGAGCTGCTGTCGCCCGGTCTGCGCGTGGGCTACACAGACGAAGGCGGTGTATGGCAATTCCTAGCGCCCTCTCTATCGCAGCGTCTGCCTCTTCGCGCCATCGAGTGGCGCAACCTCGTAGGGGTGACGAAGCGTATCGACCAATTGCCACTGCACTTTGACGAAATCTCGGTTCAAAATGTGAAGAAAGACCTCCCGCTTGCCTGCATTTACCTGGTCAAATGCGAGGATCTAGACAGCTACCGGAGCGTGGTCCGGCCTCCATTGGTCGCCTGGGTGGACGCCATGACGGCGGCAAAGGTCGAGTGGCTTGTGCTCTACGTGCCATTGGGCACACGTCCCAAAGCAGCGGGCAACGTGCCCAACCCCATCTACAGGAAGATTTTTGACAGGTTGCGAGCTGATTATGCCCATAGGAAGGGCGGACCACTCCTTGGTGGAGCCATTGGCCCCGCTTCGGCCCATTTGGCTCTACAGGAGAGAGTGTGCAAGATCGACACACTGGAGGGGGCAAGTGTACTGGGACAGCGGCAGCAACACGAGTCTCAATGGACAGAACTGCTGCTGAGACTGCGACATTGTGTCATGGACGCGTTCCAGACCAAATGCTTCCAGTACGAGGAGAGTCTCCGGGTGCTGGACGCTAAGCGAAGGTCCTCCGGGTGGGACTTCGGAGCCTTTTTCTTGGCGAAGGAGAGACTGGCACTCATGTATCAGCAAATGTATCTACAGGATGATGCCATCCGACACGTAAGGAAGAGAGAGAGGAGGAGGACAGTGCTTTAAGTATTTGACATTGATATTGCGGAATTTGTTGCGCAGCTGGACGAACTGGACGCGATTTTCGTCAACTTGAACGAGACGGAGAAGCAGGCGTTCCAAGACGGCAGCAAGACGTCGTTCACGTCTCAAGACCCGATCTTCACGCAGTCTCCGGTGAGTTCAATAGCCTTTTTGTTCTCTTGTTGGCCACGTGGTCTCTTTAACCGTGGGTCCTTTTTACTGTAGCTGGCGCTGGAGCTACCAGAGACCCAGCAGCTGATCGCCTCGAATCGCGCGTCGGCTCGCCTTGTCTCGCTCTACTGTTTCTGTCGACAGATCCGCACGCTGTACGTCATGGGCAGCTTCCCACAGCTACTGACACGTGCCAGTTCATTCATCGAGACGTTTCTCGCAGAGCTTCGGGAGATGACAGCGGAGAACGCAATTGACTGGCACCAACCGTTTCTATGGGCCGTGGGTGCGTGTATGGAGGTTTCCTATGCGTGTGAGCTCTCGTGGAGTGGCCGAGACGACGAATGGACGGCGTCGAGTGTGTCGGTGCAAGTGGCCCAGGCAATTCCAGTTGAAGAGATGTCCCGCGCCCTAGGAAATGTGCTGTACCTCGCCCGTCGTTTGCTGAAGAACTTCGCGAGGACTAGCCGATCCAGGAACGATCTTCGTGTTTCGTTCTCTAGCGTACAACAGGGCCACACAGCGGAGGATTTATCGCTGAAATGGTATCAGCAACTGGAGCAGGTGTTTGTGGCTCCAAAGCTGCGACGAGCTGCCGATGTGTGTGAGCCGTATGAACGGTCTCTGTCGGAGGTATCGCACTTAGCTTCCATGTACTTCTCGCAGTCTGGACGACATCGGTTCGCTGTATTTCTTGGAGGGGAGTGCGCACGGTACCATCTAGCACGTGGAGAATTCGAAAGTGCGTCGAGACTGTTGCGGTCGCTGGCTCGACAAAGCGAGGAAGACGGTTGGTGGACGATCTTTGGAGCTTGTGTGCGCAGTATCTGTCGTGCAGAGCTGGCGCTGGGGCGATCGACACAGGCAGTGGCAGCGTGCTTCAGCATGTTGCAGCTTGCGCAGGAGGAGCAGGTTGGTGTGAGTAAAGAAGAGATGGAAGAGCTCATGGTTGCTCTTGTGGCTAGTCTTGAGAATAAGAGCACAAGAGACAATAGAGCTGACTCAGTGGAAGACGCCAATGTATCTGGTTGCGAGCCTAGAGTCAACATGGGTGAGCTATTCAGACCGACAGTAGCCGTGGAGACTACGCAGTCAAGTGGCAGCGCTCTAGAGCACGGAGACGTTCGAGTTACGTTAGGGATCGCCAATGATTTCCCGGCTGGAGTGCAGTTGGAACAGGTTCGCATTCGGTTTACAAGAACGCCCATCACTCATGAACGACGCCAGCTAAAGGACACGTCTCCTCTCATCAGAGACCAGGCGGTAAGTCCTGCGTCGTCTGGTGAGCAACCTATCGACCCACCATCAAAGATTGAACACCAGCACTTGTGTCCAAGCCAAACTGTTGAGACGGACGTAGCGACGGTACTTCACAAAGTTGTGGAGAACGTCCACAACGAGCTGGAGGATGACTCGCATTTGCTGCTGGAGGAGAGAAACGTCCAGCTCGATGAGAAAACAGGCGTGAACGTGGTGTTTCTGCACTCGGGGGTTCCTGTGGGGCATTACACTTGTACTGGGATTGAATGCGTTCTTGCCGGGAACTCCTTTCGCTTGCTTCCTCCCAGTGCACTTGCTCTGGCCAGTTTTGAGATCGCTGCGAGGGAAAGCACGGTTCAGGTTGCCATTGAAGGTGCACCGCTGCTGATGCCAAGACCTCTGGCTCACGTGGAAACTGTAATTGTCTCGATCCAAGCGAATGATGACGTGGTGGCCAATGGAACGCTCGAGATGCGAGTCTTCAAGCGTGCTGGTAAGAGGCACGTTGACCAGTCTGGGTGCATCATGCAACTAAACGACGAGGAGCTAGAAGAAGAAGGAGACGAAAGTTGTAGTGAAGAGGAGTGTGGCATCCAGTTGATTGAAGCAACAGTGCGTGGTGAATCAGACTGGGACGCTGCACATTTTCACGACATCTCGAGCAGCCGCAGTGGCGAAGAACCTAGCAACACATTGCGTGTGGCTATGCCTGCATTATCCCGTGGAGGCTTCCTCTCATATGTCGTATCTCTAGCGGTGCCTCCAATTGATCAGAGTGACCTCAGCTCTGAACTAGAAGACGAGGATGGCAGTACTACCAGCGTTACAGTTCGAGCGAGTGTACGGTATCACCGGGAGGCGCTGGATACAAGCGTCTCATCAACGACAACCGAAGTACGTTGCGCTGAGTCGACGTTCCGCGTGCTTCAGCCACTGACGGAAGTGGTGCGACTGAAACGCGTTGGCGCACGGATCTTCGCCTCGATCGCTCTCACATGCAACCCTTTTATCCCCGTTGTTATCCAGGACTACAAGTTGATATGCCCCGACCAAGATACCGTCGCTCCTGAGCAGAGTCCGCTATTAACCGTAGAGCAGGACCCGAACATCAAGCTGCGAGGGACAAATCTGCGTCCAAACGACTGTGTACATTTCGCCTTCTCTTTAACTTGCAGCGCTGGCTTCGACAGGGACGTTGGCAACAGCTTCTGCTCGCTGCAATTGGAGCTGAAGTATGACGAGAGATGGCTGAAAACCGTGAGAATTCAGTTGCCACTGACAGAAGTTCAAGGCAAACGCTACCGAATCGACGTCCTGCCGAGGGTCCAAGACATGACACGCACGTTGCCTGGGGATGCAGTTGAGGCCACTGCGAGTGAGCCGATGACGTTCCATGTCCACGTACAAGAAGAAGCTTCGCGGTCGAACAAGCCTGCGTTGGCCGATGGGGCGAGTGTGTTATCTCTGTGTCTGAATGAGAGCAGCGAGCGAGACTGGATCCTCGTGGGGAGACAACTGGAACGCTTTACGCTGGATCCGTGTCCAGGAACTCACGATCATTGCAGACGCGAGTTCAGTACGCAGAAGAGGCTCCTGGCCACCCGCACAGGTCAACTACGTTTCCCTGCATTCCGCCTTGAAGTCAACGGACAAAGTATCCCAGCAGCACGCGTTCACTGCCAACAAAGCAGTCGACGAGTAATTGTAAGTTAATGAGTGAAGCTGTTCTCTACAAGTAGTAGTTGATAACTAGTTGGTGACGGCTACTCTTTAAACAAGACACTCAAGTAGCCACGAGGTTTACGCCACGGCGTCATCTGCCAGAATGCCAAGTGCACGCAGTTCTCGCTGTTTGTCTTCGCAGTTGACGTACGAGTCGCCATTGCGGATGTGCCACAAGGCGCCACCTAGATTCACGCCCCATGCTGCTCGAGGGTACGGCGTCTCAGGTGGCACAGAAAACTTGGTGCTCATCGACGCGCAAGTGCCTCCATGCAGCTCGGCATACGCTCGGAAAGCTGGCAGCAGCACCTCGTTCCAGCGTTGATCATTAGACCGCCACACAAAGCCGACCTTGTCTAGCTCTGCACGCAACTTGGACGAGAGCACCACCTGACCGGAGCGGACACGTGTGATCCACTGTCCAAGCCTGAAGCCTCGAGTGAGAACCGGCCAGTTCGGGTCGCGATCGGGTACCACAAAGTCCGTCGTCACCAGGGCGTCATTGCCGTGCAGTCTCCGATACGTGGCCAGCGCTGGGATCACCACACTTCGCACAGTCTTCTCCACACGATGACGAGCATTCCACACAAAGCCAAGAGCGTCCAGCTCTTTACGCGCCGCCTGCACCTGAGAATCGTACGCTCCTCGACGGATGTTCTTGACTGTATCTCCCAGCTTGAGCCCCCACGAGTCTGTCGGCCACGGGTCCTCGGACGGCACTACAAAGTCCTGCCACACATCGCAGTGTCCGTACTGCGCGGAAAACACTCCAAGCGCTGGGAAAATACTCTCACTCCAGACCTTATCAACCAGTCGGAACGAGAACCCCAACGCTTCTAGTTCCTCTCTACTGTCTCGAACTTGCGTCGCGTATTTCCCCGATCTCACCATGTACACATGTCGTCCCAGCATATATCCCTCCAACGTCTTAGGCCACCGCGAGTCTTGCTCATGTTTCGGGATCGTAAACGCCAGAGGAACGTCGGCGTTCCCATGTAATTCCTTATATTTGCGTAGTCCTGGCAGGAAGAACCGGTACCACTTGGTGTCGCGCACTCTCCACACGAATCCCAACTCATTGAGAGCGTCAACCTGGTTCCTGGGCAGCGGTGGCAGTGCAGCACTGGCCGCCGCCGTGTTCAGCTTCTTCTTGTCCTTGAGTTGCTGCTCTCTCTGTCTCTGCTGTTGCACCTGCTTCCGGAGTTTGGCCACCGCCAGTCCCAGTTTGTAGCGTCTCGTGGCTCGAGGCCAGAGCTCCGCGTCGTCATCGTCTTGTTCTTCCGGCACGATGAACTTCTGAGGCACAAACAGGTCTCCGTACTGCTCCTGGTACGTCCGGAGAGCTGGGAGACAGACCTCTTGAAACTGATATTCCTGCCATGAGTGCAGTGGGAAGCCCATGTCTCGAAGCTCCTGCATCTGCTCGGCGCCCTGCTTCTTGGTCGCCAGAGCTGAGGCTGAGCCCTTGCTCAGAGACTGCATAAAGCGATGTACTTTGACTCCCAGTGGCAGCTGGTGCAGCTCCTTGGGCCAGTCGTGACTTCTGGGCACTACGAAGCTGAAGGGCACAGCAAAGTGCTGCTCCAAGGAGTGGAAGGTGCGCAGAGCGTGCACCAGTTGACTTAGAGATTTATTGTTGCTGGAACGACGGCCTTTGGAGGAATCGTCTGAGGACGAAACACGGTAGAAGCGAGCAGCATTGGGCGTAGAGATGAGAGTAGGGGGGTGTAGAGTGGGGGAGGCACACAGAAGTCGCGGCCGAAGAGGCAGCAACTGCAGCAGGCGGCGGCGAGGCATCACTACAAACTGCTACTGCGTGCCAGTGCTTATGTTTTGATTTTAAGACCCAATAATTGGGGTTAATGAAAATATAACCCCAAATACATGAATTATTTTATCCATCTGAAGGACAATATTTACAGGACTTTATTGCTACCAGGTAGTCCTAAAAAAGGATCCATCTAAATGACAAGATTTAGTTTACAAAATTTAGTCCTTAAAGGATTAGGACAATTAATTAAAATAAATTTGCAATAAGACAAATCTGCTCAAAAACCGAAAAATCGAGCAAATAATGCCCGCAAACAATCCAGTACCGTGGTAGCTCATAAAACAAGCCTCAAGTAGCTTGTCCTGTAGCTTTTGTTATTTTTTGCTCGTTTGTTTATTTCCGCTAAAGAAACACGCAACTAGCGTTTCCATTTTTTGAAGTTTCCGTTTATATTTTTGGGCAGAAAGTGTAACAACCACTCCAATATTGTCGATCACTTTCATCGCCAATAACTTAGCTGTCTTATTTGCCGCTCACTAAGCTTTCCCTGCTTCATCGCAGTTCGACATGGGATTGTAGCCGCTGGTTGTCTGGGAAGGGTTACAACGCAAGTGGCACGTTTACGCAGAGCTGGACTCGAGTGGGGAGGCACACCTGAATCGGACCGACTAAGACTGGTAAAACCTTTCTCTTCGCCCAAGAATCTCAAGTGAAACACTTCTGGCATTACCTCCTTCGCCTGTCCAATGACACGGATGTTGCGTCTTTGCCACGTCGCCTTTCAACTCGCCCTGGCCTTCGTAGCCATTCGCTCAGATCAAGACAGCAGCAACAGCAGTAACGACAGGGGCGATGGTGGGGACGTCGTTGGTGATTTCGGTGAGGTCAAATTTATACCAGCAGAGAATCTGTATGGTCAGCTTTTAAACACTTCCAGCATCGCTCCAAACACGTTGGTGGCAGTCGCTTCCAGCTACAGAGCGCTAAATGACGACTCTATCGGAATAGCGGGTTTAACCACCCCCAATACGACAGTGTTCGCGTCAATCCTGATCATGCCCTCTGTTGCGAACGACACGAACTCAACCTTTGGAAATCAATCTGAACCGTTTCTAAGTGACAAGCGCTCGGGTCGCACGCAGCTCTTGTACAACTGCACTTCTTCTCCAAGCCTTTGGAACCTCCTCGAGGACTCGAATATGGTAAAACTAGAGACCTTTCAGGAATTCCCAAGCAGCGACAGCAACACTGTGGACTCATCCTCTGGCAGCAGCAGTACTACGTCTGATCCTCGAAACACTGTTGCCGTGGCCGTGGTACAGATTGCAGACTGCTCCACGATAGAAACCACATTAACGGAACGGCCTGTGGTCTTGAACTCGTTCTTTGGAGCCGACTTTCCGAACTCCTCTCCCTCGTACCTGTACATTACCAACAGTGCGTTGCTGAGTAACTCTTCTGGCTCTGCTTCGTTATCATCAGGTGCATGTAGACTTAGACTGGAAATGGCTCAGGCGACGCTGCCAGACGTGTATCCCGAATGCAAGATCAGATTTGAATCGACAGACTTGGATTCGATCCTCTTGGAATCTCCAACAACTAATGATGAGGATGGACAGCCACCGAGTCGCCGACTTGAAGATGCGAGCTCTTTTGACTTCATTAGGGATCCATCGTGTACGACGGAGTGCGGAGCCGATGACCTTGATCATAATACCTGCTACGCCCCAGCGCTGGATGGTCGTCAGACAGTGGTCCAGTGCAAAATGCAGTTTTACGCGAAGAACAGTGCTTGCAACTTCGAATGTGGCGATGAAACAGGCTCTCCATACAACCTTTCAGCACTCGACGTGAGCCAATGCTACAGCTGCTACTCAGAGTCCAAGTACGGGTGTCCATCTGGCTACATAATGAACAGTGCTGGTTGCTGTCGCGTCCTGTCGTGTCCGGCAATGGTGAGCCCGGGCATGTCGTCGCCAAGATCGTTCACTCTGAATTTACAACCGAACCGAAGTGCGGTCACGAACCCGTCGATGATGCTGTACACCAGTGGCGATTGTTCCGATCCCACGAATCCTTCCAACGACTGCTGTCGTATCACGTGCGAAAACTGCTTCATTAACATGTCGATTGCCTCGCTGTATGCCGAAGTCGACGTTTATTCCTCTTCGGTGGATTACACAGCCACTGAGATGAAGTTAGTTGGAAATTCGGCGATAAACGTCAAGGTGGTTTCTCCAAACGGCTGCAAACTCGAGTCAACGACGCTGAGATCATTTCGCATTACCCCGTTGTCGATACCTCTAGGCCTGACGTCCCTTGAAGTGGACTTTACCGTGGATTTCGTTGGGGAGCTCGCTATCAAGCCGCATGGATCAAGCGCCCAAATTGGAGTTACCTTTCAGATTGAACATTTATCTGCGGGATCCATAAACTCACACGACTTTGTTGACAAGAAAATTGTGTTTCAAGGAGGCGAAGACATCTCGAAAAGTGGCATCCACACTGTCGTTGAGCTATCGGTCGCTCCAACTGTAAGGGCGAATCTAGTCTTCCTCGATCTTGCAAGTATTGGGGTCCAAACGGGGTTTCCTACTTTTGTGCGTCTTGAGTCAATAGTCAAGTATCCTGAACAATTTCCGGCCTTGGCGACACCATATCTCGACGATTCCTCCCAATATCGCGGCGGCGACTGTTCTAAATCCCATTTCATGGAGTACAGGGGAGTTTGTGGGTACCAGCCTGTCGAGATCGCATCCTATGCCACTATCGAGATTCCGTGGGATTCCGATCTGCTGTATGAGAAGCCTCTGACGCAGTATGGCGCCGATAACACCAGCAGCCTATTCAGTGGATGTGTATCTTCCGAGTACAATGCGGTAATGCTCTTAAACACCGCAGCAAACGCAGTCACGTCGGCTACAACTGCAAAAGTATCGTCTGCACTTCAGAAGATCCTGATGTATGCTCTCCAAATTCCTGACATTGACCCCAATTTTCTTAAAATCCCCATCTATTCCTCAGGTCAAATCACCGTCACTATCGCAGTGCCTCCTTCTGTGGCCGACATGTATCCAATTCCATCCGAACTTGAGACTCAGTTCTACCAAGTCGCAAGAACTGCCGCTTTTGCTGACACTGTGAGCTCGTTCGTCGGGCTCAGTATCGTTGCGCAATGTCAAAGTGGATTCTGGGGCGCTTCCTGTCTTAGCGCTTGCACTTCACCCAACTGTGCCACGGTTACTTGTAATTCTGCCACGGGGGTCGTGACAGCGTGCACCTCCTGTAAACAAGGCTATTGGGGGTCGCCAAGCTGCAGCAACACATGCGTCTTGCCGCAGAACTGCCAAGCAGGAACTGTCACCTGCGATTCCAAGGGCAAAGCGACCTCGTGCACCGCGTGCAATGACGGCTGGTGGGGCCCGACCTGCACCAAAAAGTGCACCTCGCCACAGTGCGGGGACGGCGCCATTACCTGCGAGATCGACGGTACTATCACGTCGTGTAGCTCGTGTAGCCCGGGATACTGGGGTTCCACTTGCAGCAACTCGTGCTCATCGCCTCACTGTCCTGTTGAATCGGCGAGTTGCGACGACCTAGGGAGTGTGACTTCGTGCAGTTCATGCGAGACAGGATGGTGGGGTCATACGTGCGACAACCAGTGCTCTTCACTCAACTGCAAGACTGGCAGTGTCAGCTGTGATTCCGAAGGCCATGCGATCTCGTGCAGCTCATGTGGTGACGGTTGGTGGGGGCAGACTTGCAGTGATCAGTGCACAGCACTTAATTGCAAGACCGGCAAGGTTAGCTGTGACGCCGAGGGGGACACTATTTCGTGCAGCGAATGCGAGGAAGGCTGGTGGGGACCGACTTGCAGCAACGAATGTACTTCATCTCAATGTACAGCCGGTAACGCTAGCTGCGATTCTACTGGCAATGTGGTCTCGTGTAGCTCATGCGATGACGGTTGGTGGGGTCAAACGTGCAGCGAGCAGTGCACAGCTCTTAGCTGCAAGACCGGTAACGTCACCTGTGATGCCGCGGGCGATACGATTTCGTGCAGCGAATGTGAGGACGGCTGGTGGGGGCCGACGTGCAATAATACGTGTGAGTCTCCGGGGTGTGAGGACGGCGGGATGACTTGCAATCTGGACGATGGATCGGTTACTTGGTGTAGCTCCTGCAACACGGGATACTGGGGATCTCCTACCTGCAACAACGCATGCGAATCATTGCACTGTCCTACTGGCTCAGCGAGTTGCGATTTCGAAGGCAACGTACTCTCGTGTGGCTCATGTGAGACTGGATGGTGGGGTCAGAACTGCAGCGATCAATGCATCGCGCTCCACTGCACCAACGACGCTATTAGCTGCGATTTATTTGACGGGACAGTGTCCAACTGCAGCTCTTGTGAGGATGGGTACTACGGATCAACGTGTGAGGATGAATGTGAACTACCGGCACATTGTGAGAGCTCGATTTGTGAGCAGCAAGAAGGGGGAGCAGTCGAATGCTCGTCCTGCGAGGATGGTTATTACGGATCAACTTGCGAGAGTAAGTGCAGTATCCCGCAGAAGTGCCAGAGCTCACGATGTGAACCAGACTCCGGAGAAGACGTCGAGTGTTTGGTTTGCGATGACGGCTTCTTTGGGCCCAAGTGTGAGGGCAAGTGCAGCGTACCGGAGAACTGCAACAGCACCCGATGCGATATCTCTGGAGAAACAACGCAATGTTTGACGTGCACGACGGGCTGGTGGCATGCGATTTGTCGGGAGCCGTGTGTTTCGAGCCATTGTATCGCGGGATCTGCCACTTGCCACGTCGACGATGGGGCTGTCACCTCCTGTGACTCATGCGAAGATAGCTGGTGGGGTACGACTTGTGCTAACCAGTGTACCTCACGAAACTGTGTCGCTGGCTTCGTGAGTTGCAATAACACGGACGGGTCTGTCACCTCTTGTAGTGGCTGCGAAGATGGCTACTGGGGGTTAGTTTGTGAAAGCACTTGCCAAGTGCAGGGACAATGCACGACCACAAGGTGCAACCAGAGGACAGGAACCGAAATCGAGTGCACGGGATGCAACGATGGTTGGGAGGGGAGCCTTTGTGACTCCACGTCTACTGCAGCTACGAGCTCATCCGCAGATACAGATGCCGGAACAAGTGCAGCAGCACACCGACAATGGGCAAGTTTCATGGCATTGTGGCTTTCGAGCTTGGTCGCGTTCACGCCATTCTGGATGGTGTAGGAGCAATTTCATTTTTTATTGACTTCGAAGTGATTGGTTTGCATTTGTTAAAAAAAAGTTTATTATTAACTTGGCATTAATTAAAGAATGACCTCGGAGAGAATCACAATTCCTTCGATCCTTAAGTGTTTCGACCAAAACAAGGCGATGTGGTGCAGGTCATCGGACAGTAGGCTTCTGTACTACACGTAGCAATCTGTGGGCCGCACATGTACCAGAAGGACTACGACCCGAATGTTCGTAGATTCTTTGGAAGCGAGCAGTTGTGCGGTTGGTAGCGACTGAAGGCACAGCTTCATGCAGGCTCCGAGCCAACAAATTGTCGGCGACATGCTTCGGTAGTACCAGGTAAAGGCGAGCAGTGGTGTCCACTATTTATGCCGAAACGAACCCAATGCCCCGGGGGGGGGACCTCGAGGAGGTATTTGTACTCACGATGACCCGAGTCCGTCGATCCCCACCCACGTACGGGGTTCATTTGAGTTTTTGTTGACCGACTGATGAAGGCGTACCAGTGGTTGGGACTGCAGGTATTGGTAGTGATAGCTGCGCCCTCCAAGAGTCTTCTTCACCGTCGTGTACTTTATGAAGAGCCCAGTCCAGAAGCCAAAGCGTATTCAAGCTACGATACATTTCGGAACTTTTCAGCTGGACTGCACCATGTCAATAGTGCTAGTACGAGTATATCCGCGTCCATACTTGTCGCCCCAGAGCTCGAATCCAGCTCCTTAGCTCCCAGCCATTCTAAGGTTGGAGAACTCGCGTCGCCAAGCACACACGTCGCTTACAACTGCACCTCATCGTCTTCCATCTGGAACCTTCAGCAAGACCCCAACGTGTTGAAAATGGAGAATGTCGAAACTCTGAACGGTGAAATAAATGCTGCGGTTGCAATCATTCGACTTGCAAACTGCGACGAGATATTGCGATCGTCGGTTGATCGTATCGTGGTCGGTGATTCGTTTTTCGGAGCTGCGTTTTCCAGTTCCACCACGTATTTCCATGTCCAGAAGAGTGCTGTTGTCGATACCGACAAAACCCAAGACCCCGATCTCAAATCCAAAGCAGAGGGGTGTCTTTTGAGGCTGGATATGACACAAGCAGCTCTCACTCAAGTGTATCCGGACTGCAGAATCAAATTCCGCTCTACCGACGTCGCTAACCTCATTCAGACAGAATCTGTAGAAGCTGCCTCGGCAGTGGCCACTCGACGTAAGCTTGAAGCCACTTCCTTTGGCTTTGTGAAGGATTCTACCTGCAGTTATGACTGTGGACAAGAAGGCGAGAATGGCAAGCTCGACGTCGACAAGTGTTGGGCCAGGGACAGTGGAAAGTGGATGGAGGTGCAATGCAAGCTGCAGCTATACGCGCCGAACGACCAATGCAGCACTGAGTGTGGATATGAAGGTGAGGACGAGACGCTTCCTGCGAATCAATGCTACGACTGCTCCTCTAGTCACGACTCCTGTGGTATTGGGTACAACTCGACCGACGATGGCTGTTGTCGAGTTTTAGAGTGCGAGGCCGTTAATGGTGCTCCAATTACAAGCCCAGGGACGCTGTCGTGGAATCTGAAAGACGACGCACTGACAGTGAGCAACAGCAGCTACTCGATCTTCGAGACTGGAAACTGTTCCAACAGCTCTGACCCGTCGTCAAAGTGTTGTCGGATCACCTGTGAGAATTGCTTTTTGAATGTATCCATTGCGTCCATGTTTGCCGACGTGGAGATCGTCGATGCATCTCTACATGAGGCCATTGAGATGGGACTGACCGGCAACGCTAACCTCGAGGTGGCGTTATACGCACCAAACGGCTGTACGTTAGACGAGACGACACAGCTCAAGAATGCCAGCTTCACTATTCCGCTGGGCTCCACAGGGATCAGTATTGAGATCACGATGGGGCTAGATCTACGCAGAAAACTCTCTCTTCAGCCTCATGGGTCCATTGCAACTATCGGAGCCACTAGCGACTTACAGAGTCTGACGGCAGGCTCGCTTCGGTCCGAGACTTTCTACGATATCCAGATCACAAACAACATTTCGAGTAAACTCGCACAAAGCAGCATCGACCTTGAAATGCAGCTGGAGCTCATTCCCTCGTTCCAAGCCTCTCTATCACTTTTGAAAGGTCTGGCACGTGTCGGCGTCAAGGCAGAGTTCCTGGTCTTCCTCGAGCTCAACAGTTCATTCCAATATCCTGCTCCGTTTCCAGGTCTCTCCTCGAAGTATCTTGATGACACGTCGCTGTGGCACGGAGGTAATTGCCAGCTACCGCACTACATGGAATACAACTGCAACGCCGGCTACGGAGAAGTCAACATCTCCCTCCCATTATCCGCCAGAATTCCAGCTATCGGGAATACATCAACCGAGCTCAACATCGTGACATCTTCGCGTCGCTCCAGCTTCAGCCTCTTCAGTGGATGTGTAGCTACCGCCTACGACGCGGAAATTCGCTTATCGACAGCTATCGACGCCGTTTCTTCTCTCTCAGACGAGCACAAACAGACACTGAGAACAATTTTGGGATGGACGCTGGGCATGACCGACATTGATCAGGATTTCGTCAACATAACTTCAGTCTCCGCTACCTCTGGAGAAATTTACGTTACGCTCTCTGTGCCGCCATCGCTCGGTGAAATTTACCCAAATGCGGCAGAATTTGCCTCCGAGGTTTATCAGCGAGCGAGGAATGAAACATTTGCCACAACAATCAGCAACTATGTCGGGTTAAATATTGGAGCTCAGTGCGAAGACAACTGGTGGGGGATCCAGTGTAACCAGGCTTGCAGTTCTCAAAACTGCAGAAACGGGAACGTCACCTGCAACGCCGTGGATGGAACTCTCTCGTCCTGTGGTTCGTGTAAAGTTGGATATTGGGGAGCTGTCTGCGAGAATGTGTGCCAAGTGCCCGCTGTTTGTTGCAACCAGTTCACTGGAGCTGACGAAGAGTGCGTGACATGCGAGGAGGAATCGTGCACTGATACTTCGTCGGCACTTGATCCAATGCTAGCGAACGCTGCTGTGCTTGGTCTCGTAGGAATCAGTGCGTTCGTTCTAATTTGACCAAGTCACCAAGGGTGTGGGATAATTAATTGGTGGAGTAGTCAGCTGATCAAGGACTCGTGCAACAATACTGAAGCAAAAATGGATCCTTTTCAGCTCTTCCATCGATACAGCCACTTGGATTGGGATACGCTTTATAACAACGAATTCGGAGGTCTAAAGCGGTCCTTTAAGTGGTTTCCACTCGGGACGAC